TTTTCGTCGGCGATATTTATAAAACTACTATCCTATTTACTTATCAAGACTAATCCTAATCAAATTAGTGTGTGTGCAGAATATAAATATATTATTAGAGTAGCTGAACGTTTAGGCAAATATGGCTGGAGAAAAACCTAACACTGGCTGATCACAAGTTTACCAGTGCTTTTCTTTTCGCAACGGCCCTGAATCAATTGAAGCTAAAACAAAAGAAAACTAATATGTAAAAGCGTTTTGATATTCACAAGAAACAACAAAAACAACAAAGTTGAAAACAATATACAAATTACTTTAAGAAAAAGGCAGAGCATCGGTTCCAGTTCTTTGCCTTGGCTCTTTTCTCTTGGCCTCTTCTCGATACCCCATCTCTCTCATTAACCCAAAATTTTGACTCCCTCCATTTCATACATGCTGTAAATTAAATTACATTTTTCTAGGATTTTAATAAGATTTCATGTTTTCTCGTCGCTAATACTAACGATAATGTATATCCATAACCATAAACAAATACAGAGCAGTAAACGATGGTAATATAAGTTACAGCAAATTCTACCAACTCTTACCAAATTATAATTTACAGCAATATTGTTATTTTTGTTTTTAATTATATGAAATGTCTCAAGAATCCAGAAAGAAAAATAAAATCTTTCTTGTTTGTCTTCAAGTCTGTCTCTGTGTCTCTTTCCCTAATACAAACACAATCTTTTTCTTTTCCCTCTGCAGTCAAATCCCTTATACTTTACGTTACGCATATTTCACTTCTCCTATATATTAAACCACCATTATTTTTTTCCTTTGCCTCTCAACTTCTTAACGCTATCTTCTTCTTATTCACCGTCTCTTTTTTTTATTTATCTTTAACAATGGTGCAAAACCACCACCGCGGCTGCCACCATCAGGACCACCAGGAGATAGTAAGGGAGAACAAGGAAAAAAGACCCAAGTTCTTTATCAACGACCACGTGGACATACTCATAGAAATCCTCAAACGCCTCGACTGCCGTTCCCTCTGCGTTGCCGCCAGCGTCTGCCGTCTCTGGTGCACCATTGCTCGCAACGACTCCCTCTGGGAAAACCTATGCTTTCGACACGTGTCGCCTCCGCCTTCCAGCCTGCGGTCCGTGGTTCTTGCCCTGGGCGGCTACAAACGCCTCTACATGGGTTGCGTGAGACCCGTGCAGAGCCGACTCGGACGAGTCAGGAGAGCTTCTTGGGCTCGGGACGAGGTCCAGCTCTCCTTGTCTTTGTTTTGCGTTGATTACTACGAAAGGCTTGGCGGTGGTAGTAGTAGTAACGGGAGACTCGTCGGGGAGTCCTCACCGTCGTCGCTAATGTTCCTATGCAAGCCCGTGAATGTTTGATTTTCCGTCGTCTTTTATCTTATCTGCATTTTCAATTTATTATACCTTTAAAATGAAAGTGATCATAACATTCTTTATAGTTTTTGTATTATTTTTTGTTAGAAATTTATATGAATTGTTACTATCACTCGTCAGAAATGAATAAGTTACTGCCATTGAGGTTTTATATCTTATTTTCTAACAAGTTTGTATTTATTGTATTCCATATTATTGGCGAGTTATATATATTATAATATATAACATATAAAACTTGACATTTTTTATTGGAAAAAGATTAAGATTTTATTAAAAATAATAGTTTTTTAATAAATTTGAGATAAATACAAGGCAATATTTATTCAAATATTTTAAATCATTTGAACATGAATGTTCATATTTCTAACACACGGCTCGAACTCGAACCACAAGGGATAACACTAAAAAACTAAAAAATAAGTCTTTATAAAATAAATTTATATTTTATTATTTTAAACAATTAATTTGATATTATATTAATGAAACATAGAAAATGATTAAATTTTATCAAATTTTATTTTCATTATTTTGTTAATAAAACACCTTAAATATAATTAATAGAATAAACAAAAATGAACTTAGGTATAATACAAATCTTGATTTTGAACGATAAATTAAAATAATAAAAATTATTGTATTATTTTATTGTTAGATTGAAATTGGAGAATACTAAGAGTTAAATAACATTTGATAAATCAAAGCATATAATTTGGAGAGAAAAAAATATGATTAGATTTAACTCCGAATTAAATGAATTAAGAAGAGTAATGAAGAAATGGATAGGAAATTGAGTAATTTTATGAAATTGGAAAAATTAATAATCTCAATTATAAAAGTAAAAGTTGATATTGAAAAGTTTTGGAACCTTAGGCCGAATTACCTTGATCAAATATGTTATGAACAATCTGCAAGTGCATTTCTTGTCTTTATTTCAAATGCCGCTTCAGTTGCTTCCGATCTTAACAAACTGATAGCTAACTTTTTATGGGGATCTGTATCTGGAAAAGCTATTCACTGGGTTAAATGGGGATTAGAAACCAGATTGCAAAATTTATAAAGGTAAAATGTGAGAATGTAAAAAGTAGAGGCATCAATTATTGAAGTAGAAAACAAATTTAAAACAATTATGAACTTTAATTATAAAGATAAAAAAAAAGATTGAAAAAATTGGGGCCTCAACAATCGCTTATGGTGCTCTCCCTAATACTCAGATTTGGGATAACAACAAATCATTTAACTACCAAGATTATTTGATTCATACACTCATAATTATATGTTTAAACAAATGAGATTGTATATCAATAAAAGTGATTAAGATGTTACTTTAAGTGATTATCTTAGTAGTTTATCCATAAACTAACATAATAAAGTATACAAATGGTTCTCGATTATAGGGTGTTACTTTATTGAGCTTTTTTAATTATTAAACATTACAAAATGATCATTCAACTATTCACATGTTCCAAACCGTTATTTTATGTTAAAAAATCAACGGTCGTCTGAGTTAGACGTTAACCTATTGATTGTAATATAATAAAATCGATCCTAACACTGTTTGAGATGTATTTTTTTATTAAGCCTTCGTTTACACTATTACGTCGAGTCAATGCTTAAAATGTTATGTTGTTGATCCAATACTTGAAAGTAATGACGATACCTATAAATATCATTAAAAATATGATTTTATCATATCTCAGTCAACAGATTAACGTTCAGCTCAGACGATCATCAACTTTTTTAACAGAAAAAGATGAATTTGGAAAATATGAATAATTATGTAATCATCTTGTAACTTTTAATAGTCACGAGACTCAACAAAGAAACATTCCATAGTTGAGAGGGATCATTATTGTACTTCACCCAAAAATTAATAACGAAGGTTCATCTTGTTATGGACTATTGACCTCGAAGGACCAAATATCTTGATGGATCCAGTTCTGTCCCGAAATCAGATACAAAAAGAGCTTGGGCTCAAAATTAAACCCATGACTGGACTTACTATGATCTACTGTCAGCATTATGAATCCATGTTGGATACTGTGAATATCTTGACTACTAAAATTCTCATATTCATATGTTTTTATACGTTGTAGTGTAAAAATGATAAAAACAGACGATGAATGATGAAAACTAGGGATAAGAGGGAATATGGGAGGAAGTAGAGCCTACCAAAATCAATGAAGCAGAGCAGTGTTAAAATTGAGGGGATGTAACAACAAGAAGAGGGCATATCCTAAATGTTGAACACATAATCATAAGTGAGCTACGTACCCTACTTAATTAGAGTCACGGCGTCAAATCCATGTGGTTTGTCAAGTGTATGGTAATAGAGGACATACAAACAAGTGTCAATCAAGGTTGATGGCTGATTAATTGTATTTGGACCACCTTTGCTTTGCTCCTAAAAGATAGCGGGGAACATGTGGTTTGGCATTTATAGTTCAAACCTCTACTCCTTATCCTATGCCGCGCCTTACTTGGCGTATAAATTTACCGAACCAACATGTTGATGACAAAACCCTCACATTTTAACTTATATTCTATTCACATTTGAGTTTATAGGAGACATCTCACAAACTCTCCCCGAATAGTTTCAGATTTTGGATTCAACCTTTTGAAAGATTCTCAATATTCTATTTAGATAAAGATTAATATTCAATTAAGTCTAATAAAATTTTCAGTTAATCAAATTTACAGTACCATTTACCATTCAATACTAAAAAATATTCTAACTACTTTTGTCATCATCTTTAAACATTGTTTTAAGTACGGATAATATTCTAACGACTTTCGACACCCTCTTTATATAAGTCAAAATCCACCCAAAAAAATACCAATTACTATTCTATTTTTTTTCTTAATTTAATACTAGAAAAAAGCTTGAGCCTCTTACACAAATTTAGATAAATTATTTTATTTCATTGTATTGTCTAATCTGAAGTCATTAATTCCAGCTCGACGAACAATTACAGTTGATCTGACCGCTGCGCCATGTACGACACGTGGTGACGTAAAAGTTTGCCATGTCCAACCCTTTATAGTGCAAATGTATTAGTTTTTGATATACATGTATTAGTTTGTCATATGATAAGTGGATCATATGTTCAACCATATAATAATGCTTTTATCACAGCTGATGATAAAGTGTTGGTAAAACACGACCAAAAGTACACAAATTTACAACTAATTAAGTTCGTTAGTGTTAGTTAGGCTTTCGTATAATTTTTTCACAAATTTGATAATCATTAACTACAAATGGGTTGGTCTTATTCGTGTCTTAGAAAAGATAATAAATAAATCATTTTATTAGAAAAATAAAAACTGAAAAGCGCGTGGAAATACTGAGAATAGGATCGCGTAGGTTGGGAGAACATTTTACAAAGCATACAATCAACTTGTCCAACTAAAAAAATAGCGAAATGAGGAACCCATCGCATTCCGAAGTCCACGCTAAAGCTTAAGCCAACAGCGAGAGTACGCAAGCATAACTTGTTACTCGCTCTCACCTTTTTCCTTTTAATAACTTTCTTTATTTGCGACATTGATATATTTTTTCACTAGGTAGAAAAGGAAAAGAAGGTTCCTACCATCTCACTCTATTTTATAAGCTACGCTTTTTCCTTTCCCTTTTCATTCATTTTTCTACTTTCTGTCTTTGCTATTTGTGTTTGCTTCCCTAGAAAAATAAAAAAGGAAGTGAAAATAAAATATGATAGAAGACGGATTTGATTCTCAACAGCTGTCACTCTAACCTCAAAATCTGTAGCTCTCCAGTTTTCCTTTTTTCCCCTCTTCAATTTCCAGGGAATCAAAGGGACAAATTTTCCCCCAAAAAAATCAAATTGATTTTCGTTTTAAGTGGCGGTAAATTTTGATGGGAAATTGGTGGTAAATATAAAATGTGAATTTTTGTTGAAACAATAGAGATGAGCAAAGAACGCCCGCCTGAGCCTCTGGATTTTTTCATTTGGACTTTTGAGGTATATATCTGTACTTTTTTAGTTTTGTTTTTTTTGGATCTTTATTTTTGTAAACTTCAGATCTTGAGTTTTTTCCCCTTTTTCGAGATTTTAGTATTGCTTCTTAAATATGGAATATTCTTAATTGTATTGTAATTTTTTTTCCAGTTTTCCAGTTTGAAGTTCCGATGCTGACATTTAGTCACTCGATTTTTATCAATTTGTTAAGAGATGGGTCTTTGATAGTTGTTAAATTTGTAATCATTCTAATATTTTGATTTGTCTTTGATTACTGTAAACCGTCAGAATGAATTGATAAAAAGATGATAAGTTTTTATTGTTTTCTCTTCATGATCAAAAGGAAAGTTTTGCTTTGGTTTCTTAGTTCACAATTGTTGATGTATCATATATTGTTATTTTAATATTGGATCATGTGGTTCAATCTCTCTTTTCTTCTATCTCCAGTTATAGTATAGATACTATTTGTATTTTGATGAATACGAATTCTGTTGGCCTGCCCTCTTGTTAATATATTACATAGTAGCGAGGCATCAAAGAATGTTTGTTCAGGGTTGCCATTTTCACCCTTTTTTTCTATTGGGATGGTCAGAGTGATTTGTTTAGTTATGGAGTTTGCTGTGTTGCTATTGTTTTGTGGTCATTCTATGTGTTCTAGAGGGATTTTTTTTTTCTATTACAAGATTGTAGTTTAACATGTGTAGCTGGATCTTCTCCGCGTTGTTTTTTGCCTGTATCATTCCTTGCATTTGTGGCAATCATCAAAGTTGTTCATTGAGGTCATCTCGAGGTTGTTTGAGTGGATTAGTTCATATGTGACTAGAAAGTAAATGAACAGTCTTGGTCTAGTTACTTGTAGAAATTGTATAACAACCTTCTTCTTAGCTCATCATGTGGTCTGTTCACACTTCTGAATCTGATAAAGGTATTCTCATACAAGCTTATCGAATTCCCAATTAAAAGGAAAGATTCCCTTTTGTAAGGAAAAGAATTTCCCGGGTGAATCTTTTTTTTGGTAATGTTGGGATCTTGAATTGTATCTTTATTAGCCCCCGTTGCAGAGAACTTTTTGTGGGAAGATGACAAAGAAAAAACTAACAGATGCATCAGGTGGGTCTTCATTGTCAAAGATGAGCTGTTTATTTCAAGTTATGTGACATATTTCTAACCTGTTTGGAGTGTCATAATTAACTTTTTGAAAGTTAGGGTAACTATGTATTTATGAATCTTCATCCTCCTTGGAAGATTTGTCTGTGCTTGTTTAATGTTGAGGGTGGTATTCAACAATTGCCCCAACAACATTCTTTTGGTGAACTGACACAGTAAATGCACTTATTGCTGTGTACTTTGAAGGATAGACATGGAGAAAATAATATGCATGCAACCTTTCTCTTCATTATCATAATTCATAAACTCTCCTATTAGATAATGGAAAAAATAGTGATTTGTCTGACTACCTTTCTGACTAACAACTAATCCCCGAAAGAGAAACGAAAACTATTTAACAAGTCAACTTGTGCATGGCTTGGAACTTTATGATTTTGTATAAACAAACTGTTCTTGAAGCCATTGGTGAAGATATTGTTACAACTTTTCCTTTGAAATTTAACATAGAAGTTTTTCATATGGGTATTTGATTCAGTGACAAACTTTTACTCTGTGGTTTTCTTCTTCTGCAGGATGTTGGTATGTGGTTGGAAGAAATAAATCTTGGTGGCTATCGCCAGATTTTTAAGGAAAATGGTGTCAATGGGGAATACCTGGAAGGAATGTCTATGTTTACAACTGAACAGATTCTTCGGTTTATAAGGCGATGCCATATGAAGTGGGGAGACTTCATCACACTATGCAAGGAACTGAGGCGAATAAAAGGTCGCTCACGTCTTTCCCTCTCTCTCTCTCATGGTATATAGTATATAACATGTATATATAATGTATGTATTTCTGTAAGTAATATTTCTTCAAATTTTCTGTATAAAACATGAGTGCTTTTTTCTATTCTGTGCATTATTTGTCTAGCTTCTAAGCATTGCAGTGTGCATTATTTACCTTTGCAACATAACATTTTACCCGTTGTCATCAAAGAACAGCATATGGTACTCCAGTTCTGTAGGGAGCACTGGCTGTTGTTTAGATTTATTGGAAAACTGGTTGGTTTAGATTTATTGATGCCTGTTTACATATAAGAAGCTGGCTATACTCTTATAGTACCCCATGCCTTCCAAATGATTTACTGATATTTGGGTTGCTCCTCGAAAAAGCAAATTGTCGTGCATTTATCGACAGCCTGGTACTGTTATCTGTTTGTTGTTTTCTCAAACAAGAGGAAGGCATTCCTAGAAGTAGATAGCTTCTTACTGATTGATCTTAATGTATTTTTCAGTGGCTTGCCTTAAAGGAGAGCAAAAAGTCCGCAGGCCGTGGTGGGCTCCGCCTTGCCTTTCAGTAGTCTTTGTCAAGGTGGCAAAGAGCAATCGACAGTCACGCGTCGTTTCCTTGAAGCTGGAACCATGATGAAGAATATGCCTTTTACGGACACATGTCGTGTTTCTCCTTGTCCAGGGGGGCAAAACTGAACCTTTTGTCTTAAATCTGTCAAAGGTATCGCTCATAGTTCGTTGAAGAACTCCTTTATGTATACACAGCCTTTTCTTTTTAACATATTGTTATCTGTTGATTTTCAAGTTGTATCATGCATCTTGTTCAGTAAATGGTGTAATAATTTGGTTCCCTCTTTTTCATGAGGCATTCACTCTTTAGGCATTCCCTTTGAAATGTTACGTTACTCTGTATTCTGTGTAAAAAATTTCCAGATACGATGCAATCTGAAAGGCTCCTAAAAAACAAGTGCTGCTTGTTTATGTTATGAACTTATTTTGGAATCCTCGTATTCAGTTTATCTATTCAAATCTTTATGTAGTTTCAAAGCGTCTTATAAATTTGGACATAACTTATTTTACTTCTTAACACAATTACAATTTACAACCGGGTGATTAGTTTTAAAAAGAGTTACATGTCCTTCAATTATGACCCTCATTTTAAATTGTTCCCTTAACTTTTAAATATTTCAATTTCATCCATAAACTATGACTATCATTCTAGATTAGTCCTTAGACTTTTGAACGTTCCAGTTTCATCCCTAAATTATGATCTTCATTGTAAACTTGTCTCCAAACTTTTTGAACATTTCAATTTCATCCCAAATTATATGTATATACTATTCAAATCCCTTGTTAATAAAATTGTTAGGCTAAGTTATATTATTACATGTTTCAAAAAAATTAAATTTAGGTTAAAATATAGTTGCAACTAGTTACATATTAGGATGAATTTGGGGATGAAATTGGAATATTTAAAAGTTTAGGGATCAATTTAGAATGAGACTCATAGTTTGGAGATGAAATTAGAATGTTCAAAATTTTAAGGATTAATTTAGAATGAGAGTCAAAGCTTGGGGATGAAATTATAATGTTTAAAAGTTCAAGGATCAATTTAAAGTGAGAGTCATAGTTTAAGGATATATTATGCAATTATCTCTTTTAATAATTGATAAGGTCAACACGATCCAACCTTAAATATTTGTTAATTTAAAAAGGGCATAATGAAAAAATTACTCTGTAACATTTACATAAATGATTGTTTTAGTCATTATCTTTTTTTGTCAGAACATTATAACAGCTCAACGTTTTATTTTGAAATAATATATTCTTCAGTTCATGTGAGCTTGCCATGTCAATAAGAAACATTGATCGTTAGTTTATTAAAGATTTTTATTCAACCAAAATATTTTACTTAAAATGAAACTTTAAATGTTAAAATACTTCTAAAAAATAAAAAAAGTAACTATTTATATAAAAACTAGAGTAATTTTATCATTATGTTTTTAAAAAAATAGAACTAACTAGCAATTTTAATAAAACAAAGATTTCGATTACTTCGGATAATAAATGGGTTTGGTTTTAATTTTTTTATCCAATTATGTTAAAATTTTGAGTTTTTAAATTTATTTATTATAATTTAATTATATGATACGTGTATGGGAAAATATTCCGAACAAATTATTAAATATCAGTTAAAATTATGATATTTTTAGATGAGATCTTGATATTTTTGTATTAAAATATATTACTATAAAATGATTAATTGTCAATTCTCTTTCTAATTCATTTTAAAACGTTTTAACTGTACGTCATAAATACAAATATATTTGTTTTAGATAAATTATAATTTATTTTATTTTCATAATTTATTTTAAATATATTTCTAGTAATTTATCAAAATTTCAATTTTTTAAACTTATAAATAGGCATTTATCATATGTAATTTATCAGAGTATAATTCATAAATATTATATATATTTTTTTCAAAAATTAGACCAGGACCGAATATTAGTATTAATTATCGAACGGTTAAGATAAAATCGATAATCAGAACACTATGAAGCGGACCTCATGCGGTCACCCCTCCCTCTGATGACCTAAGTGCCTAAAGCAATTCAAAATTCTCCCACTTCAAGCACTCTTCAAATTGAAAATCTCGCTCACAATTTTCCCCCATAAAAGAAAAACCTCACAAACCCTAAATCAAATTTATCCATTAAAAATAAAATAAAAGAAACGGAACTAAAGCAGTGGAAGAAGAAAAGAGAAAATGTTCTCTCCAGGACTGAAACGAAGCAAATTTAGCTCCCAAAAGGAGAGAAATGTAGGGTCAAATCCAAGGGCACCAGATTCTCCAGCAACTCCACTAACAGAGAACCGTAAATCAGCTGACCAGACTTCGATTCCAGATCGCCCTAGAACAGGCACTCCCGCTCCTTGGGCACCTCGTTTGTCTGTCCTTGCTAGGTACTATTTCCACTTCTCATTTTGAAGTTTTATTCATTGAGCAAGAATCTTCTGGTTTTGAGATAGTTAGGGTTGAATTTGAATTTTAAAATCATGAGCTTGTCTTTACATTTCGCTTAAAAAAGGATTCCTGTATAAGTAATATTTTGTAGTTAGGCTTCTGGAATTAAGCTGAAGAAATGTGGGAATGTGGCAAGCAAAAATTGTAAGTGAATTGTCGAGTGTTAAGAATTGAAGGATCTGATGCTGGGCAGCTTAATAAGGCTAGTATTTGTTTCGCAGTTGAGGTTATTGCATCTTGTCACTTGTGGATGGTGCTGTGTCATTGATGCAGTGACCGCATGCAAATTGTAATCATGCTTTGTAATGTTAGGAAGTTTGAGCCTTCAAGAAAAAAAAGAAACGAGAACAGTGATTAGGGATTGGCCTCGCTCCAATGTGTTGTTTTGGTTTCTCAAGGAATTTACGTGCAGGACTCGTCAAATAATATTTCCAACCTGCTTTTATTTATCGGTTAAAATACTTTGTTTTTTCTGCAGAATGGCTTACATCACAAAATATACTACTATAATTTATGCCTTGTTTTGGTCTGATTTGGGATTATTGTTGAAACTAATGAAAAACAATAGAGGAAAAACATATGGTTAGATGTAGGTAATTTGATGGAAAGAATGCCTAAACCATAAGGGTTAATTTTAGCAACATCCAAACTTAAGAGAACAATTTCGAACTTTAACCTTCATTAACTAAAGCAATCTAAAAAATAAATAGAAAATTATATAGGACCACTGCTTCATTCGGAGTTACCTGATAAAACCCCAATAAACCTATAAAAAATTCCTTCATAAAGAAAGAAAATTGGAAATCTGCATCATAATATTTTTTTTTCATAGATTTCAAGAGTTTATATTTCACTTCCTGTTAGTAAATAGTAATATATTTAACATTTTGAGTCCTATTGCAATCAGAATTCCACCAGCAAACAAGAATGATAAAGGGGACGGAATAGATCCAATCAAGCCAGTTTTTGTTGGAGAGTTTCCACAAGTTGTTCATGATGAACAGACCAGCTTTTTGCAGAGGCGTATACCTGGTCAGTATCGCTGGCTCCTATCATTAACTATATCCAGATCTGTGCAATTCTTTTAAAATGACTAATCGGTTGCTTCCATGTGATTTGTGCCAGCTGATGTTTGTATATCAGGCGGAATGGATAAGGGAACATGCTTATCATGGATATATATGGGAACAAAATTTTTATCTGGAGTTATTTGTCATTTGCAGCTTCTAAGAAATGTGTTACTCTTGAACTTCCTTCAGATGTTTTAGGAAATGGAGTTGGTGGAAGAAATTCCTATCCCCGCAATAATTGGTTGCTTTCTGTTGTCAATTGGGATAGCACCTCGAAAGTAACAAATAGAGTTGCAAATCATCGCTATTCTGCTGGTATTGTCATGTGTAATCAGAAAACACGAGCTGTTTTATATTGGTATGACATCTTTGCAGATGTGGTACCTGCCCCTGTTACCACTTATGCATATCCAGATGAATCATGGGTGACTTCTTCACGTAATGACAGTAATGCCACCGCAAACAAACATGCAATGAGTTTTTCCGGTTCAAGTTCTTTTAACTCTTTGATTTCTTCTGCAATTCCTGGTACCCGGAATACATGTGTTGCCCTTGCATGTTGTTCCAGTGGCGAGCTTTGGCAATTTTACTGCAGCCCAAGTGGTATTCAACCAAATAAAGTACACCAGAACATACAAAGTTTGTCATCCCAAGGCCCTGGCATTGGTCAACTTGTTGGGAGCAAGGGATATCCAAGGTCAATGATATGGCGCCTTCCTAACGTTTCCATTTCCGATTCCAACCACCAATTTTTTCTACTGACAGAAAATGAAATACAATGTTTCAACATCAAGTTTTTTCCTGATTTAGATGTGTCGAAGCTTTGGTCTCAGGAAATTGTTGGTAATGATGGCGATTTGGGTATTAAGAAGGATCTGGCAGGACAGAAACGAATCTGCCTTTGGATCTGCAGGTAGATGATCATGGTAAAGTTATTACCGTTCTTGTTGCCACCTTCTGCAAGGATCGGGTTAGTAGCTCAAGTTACACTCAATATTCTCTTTTGACCATGCAATATATGTCTGAGGTGAACACCTCAGATTTTCATGAAAGGGTTTTAGAGAAAAAGGCTCCAATCCAAGTGATAATTCCTAAAGCAAGGGTAGAAGACGAGGACTTCTTATTCTCTATGAGACTTCGAGTAGGGGGCAGGCCCTCAGGATCAACAGTTGTACTTTCTGGTGAAGGGACTGCAACAGTCACCCATTATCACAGAAATTCTACTCGGCTCTATCAATTTGACTTACCTCATGATGCTGGGAAAGTTCTTGATGCTTCGGTTCTTCCGCCTACTGATGATGGGGAAGACGGTGCATGGGTTGTGCTTACTGAGAAAGCAGGGATATGGGCAATACCAGAAAAGGCTGTTTTACTTGGTGGGGTTGAACCCCCTGAACGAAGCTTGTCTCGCAAAGGGAGTTCAAACGAAGGATCTGCACTAGAAGAGAAAAGGAACCTTATGTTTGCGAGCAATATTGCTCCTAGAAGGGCTAGCTCAGATGCATGGGATGCTGGTGGTAGACAATTGACCGGTATGACTGGGATTACACGCCGAACCGCCCAAGATGAAGAATCAGAAGCTTTGCTA